GACCCACGCACTGCCTCAACTTACTCGGACACAGGCACACAGACAGAGACTCATACACAGACATAGATACACACACACAGACCCACACACTGCCTCAACTCACTCGACTTAACACTTCACACTGAACACTTAACAGGTAAATCACACTCTGACTTCCCACGTGATGAAAAATGCTTTCGGGCCACTCGTCGTCTAGTTTCTTTTGTTTTTCCCCAAACAGTGTGGTCGGTAGTAGTTAAGCGCCGGTGTCGCAGTGTCCCATCGGGGCGTCTGGCTAATTCGCTGCTATTTACAGTACATTCATGCCTCTCGAAATCCTCGAAGTGCATTTCGACTGCGCAGGCTCGCAAAATCTGGTGGGGCGCGGTGGGTGCTTGTCGTGACCGCGCTCTCGTTGTGGTGCCGTGGCAGGCGCAAGGGAAACCTTGTGGTTTGGTGGTCCAAAGTCGACTTTTCGTGACAGGTGCCAGGGATTGGAGCGGTTTTACCTTGAAGTGCAGGTTTCGTGGCAGGCGCAGCACTTTGTGAACCTCAGAGTGCAGATTTCGTGGCCAGCGCTTTGTGAACCTCAGAGTGCAGATTTCATGGCAGGCGCACTCTCACTCTCACTCTCACTCTCACTCTCACTCTCACTCTCACTCACACTCACACTCACACTCACACTCACGCTCACGCTCACCCTCACCCTCACACTCACGCTCACGCTCACGCTCACACTCACACTCACACTCACTCACTCTCTCACTCTCTCACTCTCTCACCCTCTCACTCTCTCACTCTCACTCGCTCACTCTCACTGTCCCTTCTCTGGACCCCAATGCGTCTATATAGATCTCTAGACCACACACACACTGTTTGGGGTCTCTCGAATCACTGTGCAGAACAAACAGTGGGCGTGCGCCACGCGATTTGCAGGTTCTGAACTCAAGCAGTGCTCCTCGGAGGCCATGCCATTCTACCCATGCAACAAATGCCGTGCCATGCTGTTGGAAACTCCAATGAGTGACATGGCTAAATCAGCTTCTGCACAGAGGGTTTCATGCCACGGTATCAAGCCGCCTTGTCAAAAGCGTGAACAAGGAAAGTCAACCCGCCTCATTGCTTGTTCGAGGTGCCGAAGGCCACGAAAGATGCAGAAGAAAACATGTGAAACTGAGCAGGTTCCATAGCTCTCAAGCGCAATCTGTGAACGCAACACCAACCCGAAAGCAAAAAACATGCCTTGCTCTGAGGATGGATGTCGGGCAAGGCAGGGGAGAGTCGTCGTGAAGATTTGGAGTTGACAAGGTAGGTACCTGGCAAGGTAGGTTGGCCTCTCGGTTGTTCAGTTGTTCACTCTTTAAATTTGTTGGGTCAACTAGGGTCCCGGGTTTTCACTTGCTGATTTGAACGATGATGACTTTGTTCCTCGAAACACTTGTGATGCGGAGTTGGGAGTTTTTAAGTTTGTTTTTTTTGTACGATGCAAGCGGGTCCTTGATATCTCCTGATTCCGCCTCAACATTGAATGCAGAGTTGTTTTGTCAGAGTAAGCAGCCTTTTGCACATGAGGTGATAGGCTCCTTGAGACAATCATCAAGCTAGAGCCGCTGTTCATCCTTTTGTGTTGCTAAAGAACATGTTCGTCAACCACTGCGTCAAGCAAAAGGACATTTTCCAACTGCGACCGATTAAGTTCTGTTGACACTTTAGGTGTTGGTTTGTTGACGACAATAATAGAACCTAGACAATACGATCAAACTTGAGGTCACAAGTCAGCATGTCAAATCAACACCAAGAACTACGTGCATTTGGACATCGGATAAAGACAGACAAGAATCAAGAAGAGTCCAAGAGAGACCTTTGATACTTTTGGGACCTTGTTCTTTTGCGACCTAAATGACATAGCTAAACGGCTAAATGACATGCAAATTGGGTGCAGAGCTGCTTGTTAGATTCGTGGGAACTCTGCTGCTGCGCCAACCAGGTCATTTTTTGAAGTAGTGACAGTTGCCACTCGTGTCCTCACATTATTGTATGAGCTGGCCCATTTATGATGCAAAAAAGCAGAACAATTGTCTTGGTTTGTTCACAACACCGAAGCGCCCCTTCGGCTGCACTGTTGAGTCCACATCAACACAGTGCCGGGATGTGACATGCGGAGAGGAGCTGGCGGATTTTTCTATGAAGCCTTTTGGCTTACGATTTTACTTCAGGGAATGGGCAGCCGTGGTCACCTGCCCATCCTTATATAAGCCTCACACACACACACACATATATATATATGTTGGAGTGAACAGTCTTTGCTGAAATTCATCAATCGGTTGCACTTTCCTGGCTGGTTCAGGTGCCAGTCTGTTGGGAAAGAAGGCAACGTGGTCCACCCTTTCAACAAACCATCCCGTCGCACCCGGCTGGTACATGTCAGCCAGTCCACATCATTAAGCCAACATCGGGCAGACTCGCAAAAGATCTAGGAACCAAATCATTAGTGCGTGAGCTATCCTGCGTCCTAGGTAGTAGCTTACTTGTAGGTACTAGCTACCGTTTGCTTCTACTAGCCACCTCTAGCTACTATATACCTCCCTCTACGGCCTACCTGGCTAATTAACACAAACTCGGGCCGGGTTTTGGTTGCAAATCCTCTGCAGTGGAGTGCGCATGAAATGTAGCAAAGCACATACGATGCTACGTGACATGTCACGGAGGTTTTCTGTGAAAGGACATGGAGCGGAAGGTGAAGTAAGAGGGTGAACAGGTAGGCTGTAGGCTGGAGTTTCCAAGCTGGTTGCGGTAAAAAACTGATGTTCCAAGGGTAAGAATCCTTCTGTGTTTCCAGTCAGTTTGGATGTTGGTTCCAAGTACAAGGTTCCTGATGGTTCTCCGAAGGTTCCGGAGATCGCATAGACTGCAAGTTCCGGTGGCTTCCAGTGTGGCTTTATATAGATGATTGCACAGTATATACTCTTTTGTTGCTACATATTGTCCCGGATAGTTTTGTTGATTTCTTGTGATGAAAACGTGTGGCAGAAAATCTGTTCACCCTCTTACTGTACTTCACGTTCCGCTCCATTTCCTTTCGCAGAAAAAACCTGGGTGACATGGTTGTATGGACCATTAGCACGCAGAGTGGTAGAGTTGTGCACATCCAGCTGCTCCATTCGCTCCCCTATGCTGACTTGTGCAATATTAAACACAGCAGTCAGTGAATCAGTGTGAGCTCGGCCGCTTAGTTCCTTCAACACATGTATTGGCACTCGGTTTTGGGCTCCCTATTTTTTCAACCCCCTCACCCTATTTTTCCAACCCCCCCTATTTTTTCAACCCCTCCGCCCTATTTTTCCAACCCCCGTTGAAAACCTATTTTTCCAACCCCCCAGACCATATTTTTCCAACCCCCCGGCCTTTTTTTTCAACCCCCTAACCAATTTTTTCAACCCCCGAACCAATTTTTTCAACCCCCTAACCTATTTTTTCAACAGCGCCTCCCCCCGCGAAGCGTTCACATGTAGACATCTGATCGTGCGTCTTGGTAGAGTTTGGGTTGACGCGGCGGTTAGGCTGTGGACATGTTATCTAGCGGGTTTTCTTTTGTGTCTGGGAAGCTTTCCGGTGACCCGGCTTCTGTGAACGCCGGGTTTTATCTTGCGTCTGGGAAGCTTTCCGGTGACCCGGCTTCTGTGAACGCTTCGCGGAGGGAGGCGCTGCGCCCTCCCCCCTGCACCCCCCCACCCGCTTCTGGGAAGCTTTCCGGTGACGCTTCGCGGGGGGAGGCGCTGCGCCCCACCCGCTTTTTTAGGTTGGCTCCGGTTAGGCTGTGGACATGCTATCTAGCGGGTGTTATCTTGCGTCTGGGAAGCTTTCCGGTGCTGGATTGCCATCTCCGTGCTCTTTGCACTGCTTTTTCTGATCCAAAGCCTCTTGAGCCTCCTGTGCTGGCTTGGAATATCCTCAGCATCAGTACTTCTTCTACCATGAGGTGATGCATGGAGCAATGTGGTTAAACAATTTATTGGGCCAGGTGGTGCTGCCTTCCTGATAACTGGCATACAGGTCATCATCTTGGGCCTGATCTTTGAAAGAGACTGTGAATCTTTATCTTGCGTTTATAAAGTATGTGCATTTAATGTCAATGTGCCGGAGTCTGGAGGCTTTGCAGCAGGCTCCAGGAAGCCAGCGAAAGCCTGAGAAACATCGCTCTGTCGAATGTATTCAAGTTGATTCACAGCAAGGCCTGAAGATCAGGGCCAAACTCGAGGAGTTTTCAGATTTGGAGCGCAATGAACATTGCACAAATTGACTCAGAAGTTGACTCCCAAGTGCCTTGGATAGGACGGACTCATGTAGCCCGCAAGCGTGGCATTGCCCACGGTAGGGCTTGGGCTATGTCGACTGGAAGGAGAGCAGCAGTATCGCCTACAACTAGTGAAATTCAAGAAGTTTGTTATAGCTCGTCTTGAAGCCTCTAAGCTTTCTCATTCAGTGTAGGAGACCTGTGGGCTCAGCCTATGCATCACAGGCTGCGCACATTTGGCAATCACCCAAGCGCCTTTTCCCATGTGACATGTTTCGGCAGGCTCACCATGGAGAACCTTTTCAAGGCCTCCTTGTTGTGCACTTGAAAGCAGCTGGCACGATTGTGCAGACTCTGCGCAGTTCTTTTAACACGACTCCGATTTTCATCGATTTTCTGGTGAGGCCAAAGAGATGTCATGTTCTGCCTTGAGGGCTCTGCGATCAATCGCAAAACTTGCGAAAGAAATTGAACACAACAACTTGCTCTGTATGCAACGGAGAGTCAACTTGAATGTCGCAATACAATCTCGCAGGCTGTTGACTTGATTGGATTGCACCACTTGAGGCATTTCTGCTCAGGTGCAACTTATCAACGCAGAGTTGGCTAAATGTTTCGACCCTTTGGGCGGTTTGGACTGTTGTTCTTGAGAATATTGCGCTTTGACAACATAAGGCTCTGCCTAATGCTCTGCCAAGCATCAATTCAAGAACACTGCACTCCAACATTACTTGTCACTTCTCGAACTCCGCATTGGAACAAGCAATGCTGTTCTTCCAAAAGAAGAATGCCGTCCTGATTTTGTTGCCGCTTTCTTAGTTTGTTTTTCTGTGATGTTCACGCAGGACTAAGGCCAACAAAAAGGAAGGATCCTCAGCTCAAAAACCTGTCCAAGAGGTATCTTTTGATACCTATGGAATCAAAATTGTTATCTGAGGTTTCACTATTCGCCCCTTCACAATCAACTGTCCATTTTCTCTTGACAGCCATTCGAGGCTTTGTTTTTTTCTCAATCTACGTTTTTGGGACGCCTCCGGCTATACAGGTTCCAAGGTTCAGATGTTATGAACACTCGTTTCAAAAGGTTCCAGGTGTTTTGTTTGGAAATGAATCGAGCACAATTTCCAAAGTTTGTGAAGGTTCCGATTCCAAGACTCACGATGCAAATTACTCTCAGCTGTCTTGCTATGCACTTCATCGAGAAAGCCGAAACAAAGGCTATTGCTTTTTTCGTCTGCATCGGCGAGCTTCCCCGAAGATGCTTCCCACTCAGCACCAGCGAAAGTCACTGAGACCCTATGGGGGAACGGCAGAACGACAGTGCCTGGTGAGTGTGAGCATGTGAAATATGACGAAATATGTCACTTTCTGAGGAAGAGCAGCACGTTGTTGGCGACTTTCTCGAACCCCCAGAGGTTGATGTTCAGGCAGAAAGTGAATTGCTGCTATGTAGATTAGGCAAGGATGAACTACGTTTTAAGTTTTAAGATGTCTCAAGCCTTAAGCATCGCTCTCGATTCTGAGTCTTGCTCTGTGAAGACTGATGTCACCACGTAGACGCATACAGATCGTTCAGAGATTTCCTGCTATATATATATATATCATGTAAGTGAGAACCTGACAAGTTCGCAAGGATCCATTCAGCAGACTTGTGCATCGAAGGAGACAATGAAACAGTCTGAGAACATTTGTATCTCGATGATGCTGCTTGGATGCGTGGCCATCTCAGCGTGTGATGCTCTTACTTAACGAGGAAGAATCCATGGAACATCGGAAAAGAGCCTAAGGAGCTTGAGCCTCTTGATGGACTTATGTAGCTCCAAATTCAATTTGAGCCAGAACCCTGAGATGGGCTTTATGATGGCGAATTTCTACTTGGTAAATTGGCCTGACGAAGACATCAGGAGGATCTCGTGGGAGGTTGGCTCCTTCAAGCCAATGTTCGAAAGTTTGAAACCAAGCCTGACAGGTCATCAGCTCAACAGTTTCTATCTTCTCAGCTGTGCTTCTTTTCCAGGCTGGTGACATGCTGTGCACTTGTGTGCCAGTAGATGAACACACGACGTGCTTCTTGCTTGCTAAATATGTTCACGAGAGGCACTTGCCTGTGTGCACTGCTATAACAAGCAGTCTTACTTTTCAACTCACTTGCTTTTCACAACCGAAACTGAAAGCGTTGCAACTCAAAACAGGGAATTCACCTACGAACTTGACTGGTGATCTAAAGAATTCCGTGCTGACATTTGGCCTGATCAGCCAGAAGTACAGTACCTGCTCGTTTTGTAGAATTGCGCGAGGCGAAGCCAAGAACCGCATCATGTCATGACAAGCTCCCTCACAGTGTGGATCATTGCGGTGTTTGTGTTTTTTCCCGTGAATGTCGACGACCGTTTGTACAATCTCAAGTCGGCTTGTTCAATTGAATGGAAGGCCTGCAACAAAGCGTTGGAGTACTACATCCTTGAGGGCCTTTGGATTTGGTACCAGCTGGCAGTGGACATGGTCAGGGGCCTGGATATTCAAGTTGATTCAATGGTCGACGTAAATTTTGCAAGCACCTGTGGTTGAAGTAGTAGCAAAGGGCATTTCTACCAGGAGCAAGGACGCTACTAGTAGCTCCTGGCCTTACTACTAGTAGCAAGAAGCTACTAGTAGCAAAGGGCATTTCTACGAGGAGCAAGGAGCGGAGCACAACACCCAAAGCGATGTCGCAACGCTAGCTGATGTAATGGAAGTATGGAGGCATCGAAATCGAAATATGCGAGCAGGTAAAAGCGAGCGACTGAATATGAGGCAACACATGACATGCACGAGGGAAAAACGGTAGAAATCAACTAAAGAACCAAGGATGAGTGAATTTACAAGTGCAGAAGTTCTGGCTGGCTGTCTGGTTGGCTGGCTGGCTGTTTGGCTGTCTGGCTGTCTGGCTGTGTCTGTCTGTCTGTCTGTGTCTGTGTCTGTGTCT